GTTCTCATCCAAGAAGTTTCTTCAGTTCTTCAGCTTCTTGGATGAGAACTGAAACATCTTCAAGGAAAAACAAAGTCCAATTGCCTTTTGAAAAAACATCTTTGGGATAACCATGACCTGGATGACCAAGAATCGTTATAGACATTTAAAGAGGATAAGTGTCTCTTTCTCGCTTGCCTTTATATGAGGAAAACAAAAAGTTAGATATTCCTTACAGTAAAGATTAATTGCGTTCAACTGTTGTAATCAAGATAACTTTGTAAAAAGGTAACGGTTCCTCCGCAAATGCATGCTAGTTGTTTCTGGCTGTAGGGGCGGTGCTCATCTCCATTTCTAAGCCGAAGAACCAATGCTGTCCGAAGATGTCTCTGTGCTCATATGGCCGGCATGACTAAATGCCGAAGGTGCACAGAGTGCTGTTACCTTCCCACCAAGGTGGTCCCTATTTTTCTACTTGCATTTTTTACGTGCTTTTGAACTGCTAGGTTAGCAGAAGATAGCTTTGTACTTATCTTCTTTTCACTTAAGTTACACATGTTACTACTTTAATTTCAGTACATTAAAAAAAAACTTTTGTCACTATTAGCAAATTTGGGGTTTTCTTGTTTTCTTGTTTTGCCTAAATCAAAATTTTCCACTTCAAAGTGTATTCTGTTTTATTCAATATGGATCATATTGCCTTTTTCTGGCTTTAAAACTGTATCCTAGGTGAAATGTAGGAAACTGGTTTCCTGATTTGTCATAAAAAAAGAAAATTTGAAATTGTTCTACCTCTCTCATAACATTCAGCTGATTAGCACTCAGCCTAATTAAAATTACACTACATTCCCATACTCAGCAAATCAATGTTTACAACATAACCCAGAGATAGCCATATACACCTTAAAAAGAAGGTTGAAATAATTTGGATTAGGAACAACATATTCCTCCTGGTTCAAGATGATATAATTAGTTCAATAAACTAATAAATTGCCAAACACATGTCTGGTGAATTTTTAACTTTTCAATTTATTTTCTAGCATTTAGGCAATGCCTTATTATGTTGTCTACAAGCTTCACAAATTTCAGCATAATGAATAATTGCCCACTACTAGGAAATAAAAATGGAATGTGCTGAAAGCTTTTGGAAATAAAAGAGGGAGGGGATAGCTATGTGTGAACTCTATAATAAAGGACTTAATGAAACAATATGACATGATGATAAAGAATAGCTTTTTCCAACAGATGTCCCTAGTATTGAATCTTAAAAATCTGCTTTGCCCACACTGGCTGGGAAATCTCAAAGCTGCAGTTCTAAAGTATTTGGAAAACACCAGCCTAGAGAAATTTCTTTCGTAGCTCTTTGAATACTTGTATTTTGCTGACATTTGACAACACATTTTGGGTTATCACATATGTGGAAATTCACAAGCCCAGAAATTTTAAATACTCACCATTTATAAGCAAGCACAATTTCACTTTTTGGAATTATTTGCAATCCATCAATACAACTACCTAAACCATGAAACACAGTTGAAGGTTCTTTGCTTATTCCTGCACAAATGTCTCCCTTGAGAAATAATATTTCTTGAAGTTGTATCTTCTTGGGATGAAATAAAAATTCAGGGTGCTTTGTGTGATTACAATATCTGAGCAGAAAATGGAAATATATAGCTCAAAGATTTCAACAAATAATGTTTCCCATTTATTTTCTAAGGAGGCTTCCTAACAGATGCAAAGTCTGAATCGTTTCTTGACTAAATTTTAATCTTAAAATTAAGATTTTAAGGACCCTAAATGATTTCTAGGGACACAGTGGCTCAGTGGCTAAGATACTGAGCTTGTTGATCAGAAAGGTNACATATATGTATTTTATTTATCAGCACAAATACAACACACACATAACTCTATATACACACACATATATATATATATATATATATATATATATATAAAATTCTATATACACACATATATGTAACTCTAATTAATATATATATATATTTTATATATATATATAAAATGATTCACATGGAGAATTTTTCCTTTTTCATTCACAATGTCACAACTCCTATAAACCTAGAATTCAATTTTGATTAAGAATTTTTCAAGAGCATGCTATTTAAGGATGATCGCTATCGGTCTATTTCATTGTTGAAAGAGTACATAAATCTATCACAGTTGGAAGATGAAGCAGGAAGAATATACCTCGGTAATCAACTCCAGAATTTAATTTTACAACAACTGGTCTTCCTATGATTTGCTTCAAGAAATCACTTGGAGTTTGTTTCCGTAGGCTCATTTTGGTATCTTTCAAGTGTTCTGTGGAAAAACAAAGAAATAATAATCTAATATTTAACTCTTAAAAACTCAATTACCTCATCATTACAATACCCACATGAAAACATTACATTCAACTTTGTCATCTAATATTTAAAGCAGTACTCTACATATTGTCTACATCTCTGCTGAATATACAGCTAAATCTACAGTTGAAAGTGTTCAAAATTGTCAGGCATGATTGTATTCTGTATTTCACTTTGATACAGAAATATTTGGTACTGCAGTTTAAAAAAACCTCCAAACTTTAATATTCACATTTGGTCTTGGTAGGCTTCCTAAAATATCATTAAAATGTATTCCTAAATAAATCCAAAGTCTGTGTGTGCAATTCCAGACCCATATATTTAAACTAAGACAAATTAAAATCATTTGGCTTATATTTGACTAAGATTGTATAGGAATACTGTGTTCTTTTTAATTGTAAATTCTGTGTTTAGCCAGGCGGTTAGTATAAATGATATTTATCCTAAACATGTAAGGTAGAAGTGGACAAACTCTTTATATTTAGGACCTGCAGCTTTTTTAACCTTTAAGGGCCATAAGAGGCATAGCATAGTTGAAATAATTAATACATTACTGCCATGTCTCTTGTGATTCTTAAAGGACACTTTTAAAACAGCAGTAAGTATGATAAGAGATCTTGAAGTATCCTTTTTCTTCTTTATTTTAACAAAATTCCAGAATCATGCAGCCAAAACTTTGCATTTTACCATCTAATTATGATGGTGAAATTTCATAAACTTCTATGTGGCTTCAAAAATAAGTGATTGGTCAAAAAAAAAAGGCTACTATCCACAAGGTAGAGTTAAAAGATACAATATAGTACGGATGCCCTTGAATTTCGAGAAACCCGCATTCTAATATTCCAGTTTATTATTTTCCTCCATATTCTTTGCTCCAGATTTTTTTTCCCTTTCCCTACATTTTCTACGTTTGATTCCAGATCAGATAAAAAACACATCACTGTAATGTCAGTTTACATTTTTCCCCAACATTTTGCAGCTTTTTCCAACAATTATACTTGAGGTGGGGGCGGTCAGGCAACGAGTATTAAGATGCAAATATCTCTGAAGACAAACAGGAAAAATAGCAACAAAACCCTGTTTGCTACCTGCAACCACTTGAGCAGCGAAAGCCTTAGGCACGCTAGTAAATGTGAAATCAGCCGCTCCTTCGGCAGCCGGGTGTGCGGGAATCCTATCGACTCGTGTTCAAAACGATCCGGTTCTGCGCGGCGTGAGGTTGCACCCTCCAAGCCTATCCAAGCGCTCGGCCGGCGTGCCAGTAAAAAGTGGCGTCGCCGAGCTTATATAGCGGCGGGAGAGCAAAGGAGGAGCGGAGAATAAAGCCGAAGCTCAGCGCCTGCGATCAAAAGCCGCCACCGCTATTCAGGAACTTCCGCGAAAGACGCGGCGGCGACAGAACGCTCCTGACCCGCCTCTGCCTTCTACTACAGCCTTCAGTTCCTGCTTTTCCCGCCCACCACCACTCACCCGCGCTTCTTCCACTTCTTTAATCAACTCAGGGCGTTCCCCGAAGCAAGGATGATGGGCTGCTCAAAGGACCAATCAGTGCTTCTCGGCTGTGTATTGCGAGCTACGGTGGCTAAACAGAGCCAAAATTCTTATGTGTCTTTAAGAGGTTTCCTGTTTGAGGCCGCCCGGGGGAGGGGGAGGGGTGCTAACGCAGGACGTGGCTCCTGAGCAATTTATGGGTCCTTCCTTCCCAGTTAGTTTACACGCATGGGATCGTTGCAGATCACTCTTAGAAAAGGCAGTGAGCTAATTCACAATATTTCTATTTAATTCATTAATTAATTAGGTATGAGCTTCATGAAGTTAAATTAGAAAGTATTGTAGTGCGCTTAAGATGTGGCTATACACAGAGAGTATTGCAGTTGATAAAATTATTTGCTGATTTTACTAACTGAGGTGTCAGCCGAGTCCTTTGCAGGTCCAGAAACAAATTGATTGATGCATCATTAAGTCTTTGTCGTTTCTTAGCAGCCACATAGATTTTCATGATGATCTTCTGTAACCTGCTCTTGGAGGTCTACCAATGGTGCACTCATCACCACTATAACAGAAACGGTCCATCTCTCTGCTGGTGGTGGTCTTCTCTTTCCTTTCATCTTTTCCAGCTTAGAGCCTTTTCCAGATAGCTGAATTGTATCTTAATGTGTCTCAAGTAGTATAATCTGAATGTAGTCATTTGTGACTGGATTGAGAACTCTGGTTGATTTATTCAATTCCATTATCTGGTTTTCTTGTCTGCTCCTGATGTTGTCAGGAGTCTTCACCACCACCAAAACCATTCTTCAGAAATCACCAGGAACTTCACTGGAAGTGTGCAGCTTTACACTAGTAAATATTAAGATTAAAAAACGAATCTGGACATGGGAAGAATTTTTGACCTCACCTCACCCCTCCAGCCAACATTCTTGGGTACTCAATAGATACAAAATAAAATTACTGACTGTGGACAATGCAGGTTACCAATGCCTGTACTAAAGGAGCTGCATGCAATCTGCGGAGCACCCAGGGTGGCTGAAAAATAGATGCTCAATTCTGTTGTAATGTCAGAATTGTCTTAGATACCCACCAAACCATCAACTGACGTCTCAGGAAGAAGGGATATTTTCTGTTATGGGTTTCTTAGGTAATTGAATAGTTTTTGGTGGCACCTATGTGCGATAAAAGAAAAACAAGCAGAACCTACCATAACTATGTACCAAAAGGAGGAGGAGGAGATATGACTAGGCATATCTTAATTGTTCTTAATTTTCTATTATTTGCATATGATTTGCTTTCTGTTACATAATGAGCTATTCTTTCCATGCATCTTGTTTAATATACAACTTCCGCTTTTTTAAAAATAGTTCGTTTGACAAACAAAGCAGGAAATCTACTCCAAGTGCTGGTATGTCTGTAAAGCATGCTTCCTAGAATAAGGGTGTCAAGGGTACACAGAAGAGACACACAGAAGGAAAGAGAAATAGAAATATATTCTTGGTATGCTTTAAATTCTTTTTCTTCAAAGAAAATAGATCTTCAGATTGAAGACACAAATTTCTAGAAAGATCTCTTGCCTGAGTGCCATTGAAATATTTTTCATCATTTGTATATCCACATCAGAGGAGCATAAAGCTATTGGGGGCAAGCATCTTCTAGTGACCTAGTTCAGTCCTTCCAGTCCCTTACAGCCACATAATAGCCAAGTCTGCATGAGATCCGCAGTGCAGTATAAAGTCTTTGGAATCCACTGTTTCCTATATTTAGGCATTATATCTCCTATGAAAATGTGCCCTCTGAATTGTCAGTTCTTCATCCAGAAGAGACTTTAAAATTAATAATAATCTTATATAACAGGAACTTATATTAGTATGAGATCCTTGCCCCATTATATGAGAGAAAACAACTAAAAGTTGTTGAATAGCTTTCTGCCAAATACGTTTTGGAAATTCTAAGTAATGAAAATGCTGCAAGTAAGTTCAACCTTACTTATAAAGGACAGCTATGTACATGTGTGTAACACACATATAAAATTACATTAATTTAAAATATAAGTGGCTTATCTGGAGGAAGTCATATCCTTAAAATATATATTGAAAAGTGAAGGTTGCAGATATTTTGCAAATAGCAATAGCACTTAGACTTATATACCACTTCACAATGCTTTACAGTCCTCTCTAAGTGGCTTACAGAGAGCATATTGGCTGAGTCAACCTTGAGCAGGTGAAACCCAAACTGCCAAACTGCTGTTGGCAGCAGTCAGCAGAAGTAGCCTGCAGTCCTGCATTCTAACCACTGAGTCACCAAGGGTCATATACAGATTTCTTTTGAAAACTGGTCATGTATCTATGTCAGGCGATACGAGATTTTTGACACGATCTCTCTTGATACTGAGATAGTGCCTTCTATGCTGACATTAGTAAGTAACAGAAATCTTTCATAATGTTTTGCTGGAAACACTGGAAAAAGCACTATATTTTGAACTGTATTTTTACTCAGCAACCTTCTCCAAACAATTATATCAGAACAACTCAGTTGAAATCTAAGAGCAGCTTTCAATCAATGCCAAAACCACTACTAATAGCACTTAGAACTTACTTCTCCTTCCTGCAATTCCTTTAATGTGGCTACACATTAAAATTATACCGGTGTATTTTCTTTTGTAGTAAAAGGTAACTCAAGCATCATCTTAGGCAGAATTTTGATACTGAAAAGGAATAATATAAATCACTTGGCTCAATTACTGAATTCTTGTTAAAGCATTTACATAAATAAATATCTTTTTGTTGTTATTTTTTAAAATATAAATTTTTGTGCTTAACAAGAAATTTAAAATTGTGTATCTTTAAAAGGTAATTAAAAGGTATCGCTGTTGTGCAAACAGAAAATACTATATTAGAAATTGAAGATAAAACTGCAGTGGCCAGTGTCTTAACATAAATATTTTATTTACTTGAAGTAAGACTATTACATATGGCATTGCTCAATGTACAGTATCTCAGAGACCGTTAAGCTACCTAAATACATCAAGTTATAGATAAATTAATCAATAGTTTGGAGTATCCCATCAGGAAAGGTATAATTTAGAGGGTATAACTTACTAAAGCTTACTAAAAAAAAGTAAAAATAAAATTATATATAGTGTGAAGAAAATTGACATGAAGATTCTAAAATCAAATTCTGGGCAGATGAGATAATGAAATACCATACAGAGCATTGCCATCACAAGATATATTGGTGGCTGTCTAAATAGTTATGAGTGTTGATTTCATGTCCTGCTGTGGACTTGTCACATCTGCTTTCTATGAGAACAGAGTGGTGCGCTAAATGGGCCAGGGGTAGGGGCAGGCAAACGATTTTGGCTAGTGGACACAGTTTCTAAATTCACGATGTTACCTTATATGGAAGCAGTTGATGGTCAAACCATTTACAATTCTTTGGAAATACTATATTTATGACAAAGTGTCTGTTCTGAATAATATTCACCCAACAAGAAAATGGAGGTATGTGTTACCTCCTTTATCAGGCAAGAGAAATGCTAATTATTAACAAATACAGTATAATATGAGCATATGAAAGTGAAATATGATTGAATTCTATCTTCATATTTTTATAAAGATAGTGTAATCCTATCTGTTAACAGGCAACTTAAGAATGCTACATTTCTTGAGTGACAAAATGTATATAATATGGTCTTTGGAGGACTTACATATTTAATGTTAATAGATTGTTTAATAGTTTAAAACTCCTGGAGGGGAAACTATAGCTAAGCTAGGTTGGCTTCACATAGCTATGACTTCAGTTAAATTGAAAATAATCTTATGTGTGTTGCTTAAGAATTGTGAATTAATCCTCTCTTTTTAAAAACTTATACTGATGAAAAGATACACTCATTTTTCATTGGAGTAACTTGGTTTCAGAGCTTTAGTGGAACCAGAATCAAACAAAGGCTACCCTTGTACTTTAATCAAGATGAACCTGAAAGGTCAACATTGGAGGTGACAGAAATTATTTATAATTTGGTTATAAAAGTTTATGTCTAGCATTCCATATTTCATACATCTGTGTTGGCCTTGAGAGACATAAAAAGTTTCTTTTTATATATTGGACAATTGTTGAAAAGTTATAAAACCATAGTGATTCAATTCATTGAAATATCTCACTCACAGCATTTTCATATTAACATCTTCAAAAAGAAAACACAAAATAAATGATTGCAAAATTACAATAAGAAAAATAATGTCAGGCTTTACCAGTTTACCTTAATGAAGGTAACTAAGCCTATGGAACATGCACCTATTGCCAAGTATCAAAATGGGGAAAAAAATTCAGAATTCTTTTGCAGAAGATCGAATTAAAATTTTCTGACCATCTTTAAAATATATTTGACTGTCTATTGCTATTCTTCACTCATATACATGGACATTCTTTCACCCCCAGCTATTTATAAAGAAACCTTTCTATAGTTGCACAGAATTATATGGATAAAAAGAAATTGTCATTCAAAGTTATTTTATCTTATCTGTAAGTTAGATATTAGTATCTAAATATAGATCTATTTAACATTCATATTTTACTGTGTTTTTAACTTAGGTGAAATGTTAATATACATTGTAAGTCCATATACATATTTGCCGTATGCTAAATGAAAAAGTCTGTAAGTTGTCCTGCAATAACTGTCTATGAATGTAACATGGCCAAATGCTGCAAACACTAAAATTTGATTCAAACAACCCTTAATATATAACTGAAGTTAAAAGTTCTATGTTGCTTTGGAAATACAGGCAGCCTGGAAGATCAGGTATTCAACCAGTAGAACAGATACTAAGATTAGATATCCAGGGGCTTTTTCGTCCATTATCAGCAGTGACGTGCAGTCAGGGGAGGTAAGGGAGGCAGGGCCTCACCACTGTTATCATGAAAAGAAAAA